TGGCTGGGATGAGGGGGCGGTGGGGGGCTGGGTCTGAAGGGCGGCGGGCGATCAGGCGCCGCGGGGCCCTGGACGCGCCCTTCTGGGACGGGACGGCCCTGCGGTTTCCTCGCCACCGCTTGACTCACCCTCTGGCCGCAGCCCAGGCTGGCGGGATCGCCCCGAGGCGGTGGCTGGCCCGGCTCTGCGGCCCGACCGTCCCCTGCTCCGGGACCTCCCGCGGGCATGCGGGCGTCCGTCCGTGGGCCGGGTGCGCGGCTAGCACACGTGGGCCCGGGGCCCGAGCGAGGGGAGAGCGCAGTTTTGTAGGGGCGTCTGTGCAGATGTGGGCCGTGCACGTACGTGCAGGCACGGGTTTGCATGCGTGGCGGCGGCCTGTGTGTCAGCCTGCTGGGGTGCACGTGCGCCCCAGCGCCGCCGGGAGGGGCTTGGGGACACCCGGAAGTCGCGGGATCGGGTGCAGCGGCAGCCCCAAAGCGAAGTCGGCTGTGGGCCCCAGGCACCAGAGTTATGGGCGGGGCGGTTAGGGAGAAGGAGGCGGAGGCCGGTCGCGCGACGCTTCCCCCTCCACTGGAGACTGTGAGCTGCCCCAGGTTGTGCTGTAGCGTCTGGAGAGCCCAGAGCCTCAGCTAGGGGAGGAGAGAAGCGTGGGAACACGGAGCGGGGGCCAGATCCAGTCCTCCAAGAGAGTTCAGATGCTGACCACAACTGGGCAGGAATCGCAGTCTTCTTCCTGGTCTTTCCCAACGTCCATCCTGAGGCCCCTAGGAGGTGGAAGTAGGAATTGGGCTACAGAGCTGTTTGCGTCCCCTGCTGCTAAGGGCAAGGGTGGCACAGCGGTGGTGGGCTCTCCTCCTGGACCTTGCCCTGAGTCTCGGCTGAGAGGATCAACAGAACTGCCAAACCTCTAATGGTGTCGTGACCCTGCTCCCTGGGGGGCTGCTCTCCAAACGCTTGCTTGCCTCAGTATGTGTGTCAGGGACGGAGGCACCTACATTTCGGCTGTTGTCTTGAATGGGGGAGGGGCCTCACTTGAGGGAGTGTAACCTGGGCTCTCGATCTCCTATTGGCAGGAGATAAGGTCACCCCAATACTCCTCAGAGTCCTCTGCTGGCTCCCTGGAGTCCCCACCCCTCCCACAAAGACTCCTAAGGGTCCCTGGTGGCCTGGTATCTGTTGGCTTGAGTCCCAGGTGGGGTCTCAGGAAGTCTCCAGGGCAAAGGGTTGAGCACAAGGGAGAAGGCCTCCTGGAGCTGGGGGTAGGTGTGGAGCAGGCCCCAAGGAACATGTGGGGGAGCTGAGACCAGAGCTAACAATTAATCCAGAGCTCCCCAGGGACAGCGGGAGGGCCCAACACCCCCAAAACTGTACAACTCCTTATAGCATCGCTGTGTAGCAGGTGCTGGCTTTTCCCCTGCATGCAGGTCCCTGTCCTAGGTCACTGTTGTTTGTACTATCACCTGTGTCGTGCTGGCCCCTCCTGTCTTCTCTAGGCTAGCTGAGGTGTCAGATTCTGGCCAGGAGATGAGCCAGCATTCTTTCTGAGAGTCCTACCTGGGTTCTTGGTGCAATTAGGCTGGGAGTGGGAGTGGCACTGGCCCCCATACCACACTTGCCTTTTCGTGTCCTCATAATGTGCTGGTCTAACTCCAAGCCTGTGGCTGTCATTGACTACCAGCCAGAAGGGAGGAGAGGGCTGGTCCTTACTTGCTGGTGATGGAAACCTGTGACACTTGGCCCATGGAGCCAATTTATCCTTTCCAAGCCACTGAGGGTTTCAAAGAGCAGGGTGCTCGCTGGGGGAAGTAGAGGCAGATCAGTGTGACCACAGCAGACAGGCCTCAGATGGAGTCCCTCGTGGGTCATTGAGTGCCTTCTGTGTCGAGGAAACCCAAGCTTGATCTTTCTGGGCCTGGGTGCCCATCCTTCCTTGGATAGCCTAAGGACTTTAGTCTTTCTTTTGGCAATTAATTTTTCCATCAGTGCAATAGGAATAGTTGCCAGCTAGCACTCTGTGGCCCCTGGGACCTCCCTCCCTGGAGTTTCACAGTCTCCCACTCCCATCCCCCTTGCTGTCTTGCCCACATGTGCCTTGGAATAGCCATCTGCAGCTTGAGGGCTGGGGATGGACACAGGCTCTCCCCAGTACACTCTGGGTCCTTCCTGCTGGGCCACAGCACCATCTGCTGGACAGCCTTGACCCTCCTGCTGAGGGAGAGGAGCTGGGGTGGGAGGGCGTGTAGCTTGTACAGGCACCCAACAGCCACCTTTTTTGAGGGACTGCCCTCCAGAGCCAAGCCCACTGATCTCAGTGTTGGTTCGAGCCTAGGGACCTAGGTTCAAGGCCTGGGTCTGCCGTTTTTTATAAGACCAGAAGGCCAGGGGAGTGTCACAAGGAATCTGTGAAGTTGTAGACAATGCCTGGATTCCATGTCTTGGCTATGGTGGGCTCCTTGAGATCTCTGTGACATCTCTTTCATCAGTGACTTTGAGATGAATGGGTCTCCTTGTGTGTACGTGGGGGGACAGGTAAGCTAAGCCCAGTCATCCTTAGACTGTGCCCTGCAAAGTATGAAACCCCGAGGAAGGGGTCTTGGGCATCATATAGAGGAAAGCTGTAGAGAGGGGGCTGCTGCACAAGAACCCATTAAGCAAAAGGTCTGCAGCTTAAAAAATAAGAGTTGGGGCTGCTGCTCTCTCTCTTTGGGGCCAGCCCGCACTTCACCTGAGGTGTGTATTTCTTACTTTTAGTATCAGACTTGCTTTTGGCAGGCTGCCGTTCACTCTACAGCCAGCCTGCACTTCGTCTGTGAGCGTGCATTTCTTACTTTTGTATTAAACTTGGTGTGGATCCTGCTCAGTCTCTGGAGCTGGGCCCCACTTCCTCTGTGAGATCTGTATCTATTATTCATTGCATTAAACCCGTTCTCACTTTCTAAAAAAAATAAATAAGAGTTGGAACTTCTGTGTTATATGGCTCATGCTTTCACAGTCTTGACTGAGCATCGGTTAGGTGCCAGGTTCTTAGGTGTGGCAGTGAGCCCATGAGAGTAGCAGCCCTCTATTGCTTGCCTGTCACCTGTTTTTCTGACAGCCCCTACCTCTCTCCCTCTCTCTCCCAGGTCAGCAGTTGAATAGCAGGGGCCCAGGAGGGCTTGAAGCCTACACAGCAATGGCAGAGAAACGGCCACTGGGGACCTTGGGGCCAGTGATGTATGGCAAGCTGCCTCGCCTAGAGGCAGACTCAGGGCCTGGGCACAGCCTACCCGCCTCTGCTGGAAACCAGGACTCCTGCAGCTACAAGGGTGCCTACTTCTCCTGTCCCATGGGGGGTACTCCCAAGACAGCATCTGAGCGGTTGGCATCCTGGACCCCCTATCCAACCTTGTATCCTACCAGCATGGCAGGACCCCCACTTCGGGCAGACGACCTGTTGACCAACTGCCTGCTCTACCGCTCACCAGAAGGCTCTGAAAAGATGCAGGACTCTGGCCCTGTTGAGCTTCTGCCCTTCAGTCCCCAGGCTCATTCATACCCAGGCCCACCACTGGCTGCACCCAAACCTGTCTACCGCAACCCTCTGTGTTATGGGCACCCCACTTGCCTGGGAGAAGGGGCAGCAAAGAGGTCACTGGACGCTGACTGGACCCTGGTGACTGGGCCTCTGTTGTCTTCAGCTGACCCATCGTGTTCTCTGGCCCCAGCTCCTGGCAAGGGCCAGTCCCTGGATGGCACCTTCTTGCATGGGGTACCAGCTGGGGGATCTGGCAAAGACTCCTCGGTTAGCTTCTCCCCGTGCCAAGCATTCCTGGAGAAGTATCGGAGCATCCACAGCACAGGCTTCCTGCCCTCCAAGTACACAGGTCCTTACTCTGGGGACCCCAAGCAGGCAATGTCCGAGGGGCCCTCAGGTTCTTGGACCCAGCTGACCCAGTCCCTGGGGCCACCCTGTCAGGATGCAATGCCCACCCATTACTCACTGCCCCACCCTCCACAGGCCCTGCCTTGCCCTCCAGCCTGTCGCCACCCAGAGAAACAGGGCAGCTACAGCTCAGTGCTCCCACTACAGCCTCTGGGAGCCCACAAGGGTACTGGGTACCAGGCTGGTGGGCTAGGCAGCCCTTACCTGAGGCAGCAGGCAGCCCAGACTCCCTACATACCCTCAGTGGGGCTGGACACTTATTCCTACCCCTCTGCCCCGCTCCCAGCACCCTCACCAGGCCTCAAGCTGGAGCCCCCTCTTGCTCCACGGTGCCCACTGGACTTTGCCCCCCAGACATTGGGTTTTCCTTATGCCCGGGATGACCTCTCTCTCTATGGAGCATCCCCAGGGCTTGGAGGGACACCACCTTCTCAGAACAGTGTGCAGGCTGTGCCACAGCCTGGTGCCTTCCAGCGGGCGTGCCAGCCTTTGCCAGCCAGCCAGCCGTGCTCAGGGCCTGTGAGGCCCACAGAGAAGCCAACACAGGAATCTGAGGAGAAGACGTGGTTGCCTAGTTGCAGGAAAGAGCAACTCCAGTCCCGGCTTGATGAGCACCCTACGGTGCCCATTGTCATCCGAGACAGTCCAGTTCCCTGTACCCCACTGTCACTCCCACCCTGTGCTCAGGAGCATGAATCCCTTCCACAGAAGGAGGGTGACAGGCCACCCAGCTCTCCTCCAATGCCTGTGATTGACAACGTCTTTAGCCTAGCTCCCTACCGTGACTACCTGGATGCGCAGGCACCGGAGGCCACAGCTGAGCCTGACTCAGCCCCAGCCACCAAAGAGAGCCATGACAAAGACTTGCCTGCCCAGGAGGGCCCCTCAGGGGCTCACAGCTCACTTAGAGAGGAGGTGGCACTGGACTTGAGTGTAAAGAAGCCCACAGCAGAGACTTCGCCTACCAAGGTCCCTAGTCCTGCAGTACATGCCAGCCCCCCTGCAGCCACAGGTGTGCCAGATGTGGGGAACACAGAGTCAGATCTGCCAGGCCTGAAAAAGATAGTCACAGAAGCACCAGGGTTGCCTGGTGTGCCAGTGACCCCGGAGGCCATGCCAAGGACCAACTTCCACAGCTCTGTGGCCTTCATGTTCCGGAAATTCAAGATCCTCCGTCCGACACCCTTGCATGCAGCCGTGGTTCCGGCCACGCCCACCTCAGCTCCTGCCCCTGTGCAGCCTGCACCCACCCCCACATCTGTGCCCATTGGGCTACAGATTCTTGCTCAGCCCTTGCCTGTGGCATGCTTCAACCTGGCACTGCCCAGCCCTCCAGCCATAGCTGTGGCCACCCCGGCCCCAGCTCCTGCTCCAGCTCCAGCTCCTGCTCCTGCCCCAGCCCCAGCTCCTGCTCCTGCTCCAGCTCCAGCTCCAGCTCCAGCTCCAGCTCCAGCTCCAGCTCCAGCTCCAGCTCCAGTCACAGGCCCTGCTCCAACTTCTACTCCAGCCCCAGCGGACTCGCCAGAACAGCACTTTACTGGGCTGCATGCCTCCCTTTGTGATGCTATCTCAGGCTCAGTGGCCCACTCCCCACCAGAGAAGCTGCGTGAGTGGCTTGAGATGGCAGGGCCATGGGGCCAGGCTGCGTGGCAGGACTGCCAGACTGTACAGGGGCTGCTGGGTAAGCTGCTGTCCCAGCTGCGGAGCTTTGTGTGCTCCCAGTGGTGCCCCTTCCCCCACGTGGTGCGAGCTGGTGCCATCTTTGTGCCCATCCACCTGGTGAAGGAGCGGCTCTTCCCGCAGCTGCCACCTGCCTCTGTGGACCACGTGCTCCAGGAGCATCGTGTGGAGCTGCGGCCCACAACGCTGTCGGAGGAGCGGGCACTGCGGGAGCGTGCCCTGCATGGCTGCACGTCGCGCATGCTGAAGTTGCTGGCGCTGCGCCAGCTGCCTGACATCTACCCTGACCTGCTGGGCCTGCAGTGGCGCGACTGTGTACGCCGCCAGCTGGGTGAGCATGGGACAGCCCCAATAGCCACCAGAGCTGTGTGAGCGAGTGACAGGTGTGTGTGCTGCGTGATTGGGTTACAGCTGGGGGCTGAGTGATTCTAAGAGCTCATTCCAAGGCAGGGGGCTGGCCTTCCAGGGTGGGCTCTAGGGATACCCCCCCCACACCGCCTCCCACCTCTTGACCCTCCAGGCATCAGTGATGCCTTCATAGCTTCTTTATAGGCCTCCAAACGTGCCAGCTGCTTTGTCCCCATGCAGACTCTTTCTTGGCCTTCCCTGCTGCTGTGCTCTCCTGGATTCCCTCTTCCTTCTCTGCTCGTGCCTTCGTCTTTGTCAGCACCACGCTCACCCAGTTTTTTTTTTTTTTTTTTTTTAAATATGACCGGTAAGGGGATCTTAACCCTTGACTTGGTGTTGTCAGCACCACGCTCACCCAGCGAGCTAACCAGCCATCCCTATATGGGATCTGAACCCGGGGCCTTGGTGTTATCAGCACCGCACTCTCCCGAGTGAGCCATGGGCCGGCCCGTGCCTTCATCTTTGGTTCAGGCTTTTCCTTTGGTGCTCCTGGGGCTCTGACCAGGCCATGTTTTCTATCTGAGATCATTACCGCCATGTCTCTGTCCAGCCCAGCCTCCCCTCTTCTGAGCTCTAGCCCCAAATAACCCCCTGCATGCTGGGCTTTTGCACCTAGGTGTCTCTCCTACACAGAACTCATCCCAAACCACACTCCTAAGCTTTCCCCTAAGCTCACACCCAGTCTTTCTTGTCTCAGTGAAGGGCACCCCGGTTCATCCAGCTCCTTATGCCCAAGACCTGGCAAGGGTCCAGTTGCCTTTTGAATGTGTAGTCTTTCAGCTGTCCCTGGCGTTTGCATACACAGGAGTGTGCCCATGAGTGGGAGCATTGTTTTGTGGTTTGCTTTTCCTCTACTAGATGATGTCTAGAGGCTGTTTTTCTCCAACCTGCTTTTTTTTTTTTTTTTTTGTAATGTCATGGAGGGAGGATCACGCAGCTGCTGCAATGTTGTGTGCTGTGTATGATCACGCTTGCTCAGCCAGGACATTGGAGATGTTACCAGGTGCTTTCTGTCACTGCTTCTCCTGCATCAGTATGCCTGGCATTGAGGCCTCGATCCCTCTGGAGTCTTTCTTTCCCTGATGCTCCCCGCCAGCCTCACCCCACATTCTCACTGCTCACCTCTGCCCCACGGTGTTTCCTGGTAGAAGTGGTTGCTAGTCCCATGCAGGCAGCCTTGCCCTGGGCCCATAGCTGGTCGAGGCACTAGGTCAGGGTGGAGGAGGGGCCCAAGGTGGTGAGGTACAGATGGGGAGCTTGGGGTCTGGCTTCCAGTGTTCCTTATCCCTGAACACTTACCAAGTCGGGGCAGGTGCCTTATTGGGGTGCAAAGAAAGCACAAGTGTGGGTGTTCTGTTTCTGAGTGAGCAAGAGCATCGGTGTGTGACATGCATCATTCAGAGGCCCCAGCCCACCCCTCTCCCCATACAGTTGAGGCCCAGAGAGGATCAGGTCCATTTTTCCTGGGATGCCTGGCAGGCAGTGGAGCCCAGGCACTCCACGCAGTTCCTTCCTGCTCTGACCCAAGACTGCAACAGTATAGGGTCTGGTGAAGAAATCACTGGGCCTAGCTTCTTACACTGGCTGTATTTTGGTGCTCCTGTCCCTATTCCCTCCCTGAGCTGTGGGTCCTTCCCTTGTCCTTAGGGAGGCCACCCTTCTGTGGGTGCCCCTAGACAGTTATTCCTACCTCTGTTTCTTATAGGTTCCTGTGCTACCCCGGCAGTCTCCCTCCCCAGCAGGTGTGCATTTTGGCCAATGGCCCCTTTCTTACTTCCTCCATCCTCCTCTCTCTGGGCATTGCTTTCAGGGCAGTCCCTGCCTTGCTCCGGTTCTGGGGATGGTGTGGCAGAAAGGTGATGGCTCTCTTAGGTATGGCAGGGCCCTCTCAGTGCCTCAGTTTCCACACTGTACAGTGGGGCTTTGGGCCAGGCCGATGGCTCCTAAGCTGCTGGGTTCCTTTCCTTTCGTCCTTGCACCCAAAAGCCTCTTCTGAGTAGCGCCCTCATCAGACAGGTGTCACCTGGGGAGAGGCTCATCTTTTCGGTTTGGATGGTCTGGCCAGCAGGCACATATAGGGAAGGGTTGTCACAGCTGCGGCCCCGCTGGTGCCATCCTTGGCCTGGGGCAGAGCAGAACCACTGTTATGGATGGCTTTGGAGGCCAGGAGGTGGGACATGAGGATGTGGGGTCTGCAGCCTGATTATATGTTCATTTTCCAGGTGACATTGACACTGAAGCTGGAGCTGCGTCCCCCTCAGAACCCACCATGGCCAGAGATGAGCCAGAGAGCCTTTCCCTGGCTCAGAAGTCACCGGCCCCCAAGGTCAGGAAGCCAGGGAGGAAGCCACCAACCCCTGGCCCAGAGAAAGTGGAGGCAACCAGAGGGGGAGGGTCCCGTGGTGCCTCACCTAACCCTGCTGCCAGCATCAGCCCACCCGGCCCCACACTGAGGGCCCGCTTCCGCAGCCTGCTGGAAACTGCCTGGCTCAATGGCCTAGCACTGCCAACCTGGGGCCACAAGGCCTCAGGACCAGACCGGCCCTCACCCCGCCCACAGCTGCTGGGCAGCCAGAGCCACCACCTTTAGTGTTGGTCACCAGTACTGTGTGGGCAGCTACCTGTCTGGGGATCACCCTACCCCTCCCTTCTGTCTGCCCAGCTGCTCAGGTCAGGAGTGGGTGCTGGGGCTGTGATAGCTCCCTTGGACGGTCTCTGGCTCTCACCCCGATCTTCTCAATCAAGGGTCTTTCTCAGAAAGGACTACTTCCTATTTCTTCCCTGAGAAAACCTGTGGGCTTTGCAGCCCTACAGACCTAGACTTGAATCCTGGCTCCCACGTTCCTTGCTGTGTGACCTGGGCAAGACACTTCACCTCTCTTGAGCCCTCACTCCCCATGTGTAAAATAGACAACGCAACCTACCTCACAGGGTTGTTGTGGGGACGCCGCCTGACACACACCCATTATGGTTTGGTCTCTGTGCCGCTCTCCCCGCCGGGCCAGGGCCTGGACTAGGAACCTTCCTGTAGAAAGTCTGTGTAATAGGACTTGTCTACCTTCGAGTGGCCCATTGTACAGCACATATGACTCACACTTTCTAGACACACTCTCTCTCTCTCCCTCTCTCCCTCCCTCCCTCCCTCC